GTCCCTACACGTGTTAATACCGCTTATGTAAGTTGGTTACTAAATTTTAATTAATGTTATTTCATTACAATAATTTTTTTTCTTAATAAATTTTAGTCTTATCTTTTTATTCTTCCATTTGTTTAGTGGGTGAACCGTCTTTTGGGGATTACATCGACTTGGCAGCAGGGATGCGAATGTCCGGTGGCGGCGGAAGTCCAAGAAGAACTGGCTAAGTTTAAGTTGGATTACGACAATGCCCAATAATGATGTAATGAATGTTTTTTTTTTAATTATTATTGTAAAACATTATGTTGAATGACTTTTTTTATTTATTATTTGTAAAACATTAAGTTGAATGGTTTTTTTTTTTTTTTTTTTTGCTAAAATAGAGTTGAACTAATTCATTTTGTTTTTTATTTGCTAAACTTAAGTTGAATGAGAAGCGTCATACAACAAGTGAATAATATCATTCTTTTATTCAACAAGGTTTTTTTTTAACAGTAAACCACAATCGCAACCTAGCCTCGTATTGATCCTCCCAACCCACAACCGATCGATCTCGGTAACGGAACCACATGGAATGAATAGGCGGCAATGGACAATTATGAGTCAAATCTAAACGAATGTAGTGTTCTACGGTACCAAGATGGCACATGACAATCTCACGACATGGTCCTCTAGCCGATGATCGTGCAATGAGAGGCAACACTGTGATACTGAATAAGTCATGCTGCCCACCTTGCGGACCAGAGCCCAACAGAACGACAACCGCATTAAATAGGGTCGCAACGGCGTAGAGGTCCTGCGGAACTTCGAACCAGTGAGACCGTCCACAAGGGCCGTCGGCCCACCTTACGCGACGGAGTCCGGTGTCGATATCTTTAAAATAGATGTACTCGTACAATTCACGGTGGCTGTCGACCTCCTTCGCAATGCTTTCTCTTGCATTTGCCCAGTACTTCTGGTGACTATACACGTGACTCGCGATAACCCAAAATCTGCAGTTACCATCCTCATCCACATTCAGGTAACTCACTATGTAGTCCAACATATGTCAGGGGATATTTTGTCACATTGAAAATCCAGATATATTTGTCGGTCTAAACTCTGCAATAAATATCATAATAATTTCACGTCATAATTTATATATCATATAAATACTTTAATTAACGTTCAGTCATATTTAAAAAAAAAATGTATGACCTTCCCCTTGTGACTGTTGAGAAAACGAACTTGTCTGTCCACGCGAAGAAGTGGTCGTACGGCTCGACTTCCGACCTCGCGATCTATCGTTGTACTCAAAAGCAGATGGTTTACGCTTAGTTGAATTAGTTTTCTTGGGACGACCTCGCGGGTTATCCTTAACCTCAGGTTCCGCATAATTTTGTTGGTCTGGGTAAAGATGACTGTACATGAACTGATTCACGTACCGCATCGTCGCGGGATCGCGGGTTTCAATCTCACTCACAAGCGTCTGAAAGAACTCCGCATCTGACCATGCAGCCTGGCTCTGATGACCAGTTCCTACAAGTATACGATAAAAAAGTCAATGAATTAAACCAAATAATGTATTTTAATAGAAAATTATAAATAAAACATTAACCTTAAATTATCTGGCTCTAATATCTGTAGCGTTCTCCAGAACTGGTGAATCATTCCGAGATTAATCGGAATGTTGAAATCAACTGCGTTGCGGAGCAGACAGGCACAAAGAAGTCCATGAGTGAGCTGCAATACACAGCCGCAACTAGTGTAAGCATCGACGTCCAAGTCGTGCATCCTCGTAAGCTCAGCGTTTAATAAACTCAAACAGTAATGCGAGACCCTCAGTATCACGCTCGCGAAAAGGATTTCCTTATACCGTGTATTCTTCTTAGATCTCGAGTCCTCAAGCGTCGTCCTGATAATACGTTACATAACGTTGGATTATAATTAATTAATGAAGTAATATAATAACGCATTTAAAAATTGCAGTACGTACTTGATTTCAGTAACTTGATTATCGTTGTGCTTATTAATCTTCTGTCAAATTGTATCGAGCGCGCCGGTGGACGTCTGAAGTTACTCCTTCAACACAGAGTGGGCACTCTCCACCCTACAGGAAGTTGTGTTTCCAAAATGTGTCACTCGGTTGGTCCAAGCCTTCACAAACTTCTCGCGGTGCCCTAACCATGTGCCCTCCACATACCGTATCACCTCTGGAGACTTCGAATATTTTGCGTGCAGCTCGGCAACGGCATCGGTGTAGGCATCGAACGTACTGGCCTCTGCAATCGCCTTCCACGTACTGTGCCTGAAAATCTCCGAGAATTTTTTACTCTTCCCAAATAGTTTGTAGGCTTTGTCTTCCACATCCTTGTTGATGTGCCACGTGCAGAGTAAGTGGGCTGATTCAGGAAAATGCCTCTGAATAGGAGTGAGTAAACCCAACTCTCTGTCACTGACAACAACATAAGGATATACGTCTTGGCCTATCAGTAGTCTCAACTTCTCTAGAACCCAGTCGTAACTGACCTCTTTCTCGTCCCTGATGAGCGCATACGCAATTAGAAAGTTCTGGTTGCACGGTGTCATCCCAATCATCTCGACCAACGGCATCTTGTACCTGTGCAAATGAGACCAAGAAGACAAAAAATATAATCAAATAAAAGTTAATTTAATCAAAAACACTATTTACGATTCATACTAATAAAATATTTATAAAGTAACATATTTGTTGGTTTTATACGTGGAATCTATGCCGACATACCAGTGATATGTCCGGGATAGATTGATCGACGCAGGATGGGCCATGAATATATGCGTCAAGGCTTTCGTGTTCGGATCTGATTCTGCATAAACTGTATACTCCTGCTCACGGCCAAATGCATAAGCTGGGAAGGAACGTTTCTACCGTCGAAGCTCTCTTTCCGCAGCTTATCTCTAAAGTTATATACCTGTCACCGATTAGCGTTAATTATAATGATTATTATAATTTTAAAAAAAATATTATGTTAATAAATAAAAAAGTATATTAATGCGGATAATTTGATAAAAAAAATTTAACTATCACAATAATAATACATTAGTAAATATAATAAAATTTATTAATTATTACAATAACTTTTACATATAAAATTACTAATTATCATAATTAACTTTAAAAAATTAATTAAAACATATATTACAAGATATAAATATATATACCTGTCGCACATGAACGTTGTCTCCCGGGTTCTTTTCCTTCAGCGCGGCCATAATTTTTGCCGGGGCCACCTGAGCGTCCGTCATATCACGAACAATTTTCTTAGATGAAGCGTTGAGGCCGCTCAACTGTCGATGACCCTCAGGATACACAACAAATGTATGGTTATGGTAACCATTCTCTTCATTGCTACATCTACAGATCCTCCAGTATGGAGCGCCGGACACCTTATTTACTTTGATCTCAAAATTGCAGCCGCAATTATTCGTTTTTGTCTTTCTAGAATTTCCGCCTGTGCCTCTGTACCGTTCGCCTCTATGGCACTTCAAAAGTCTGACCGTTTTCTTTTTGTGGCTCGAAATTATTAATAGGAAACCATTCAGCATTGTCTGGTGTTTTGCAGCTTCAATAGCGTCCTGAGCACTATTATATAATGTACAGGTATCGAAATGCAGACTGTAATCAACACCATCTCCTCCAAAATCTTCACATGACTCCTGCTATATAATACTCCCTCCTATTTTTATTATTTGTCATCCTAGCTTAATTGATCATTTGTTAAATAAATGTCGTTTTGGTTATTTTGTACATATTTTTCCATCATTACCCTCATTTAACTAATAAATACACTACGTCTTTTCATATTCACTCTCCATCTTTTCTCAAAACATCTATCTCTATCCTCATTAATTAGGGTTATTATTGGTAAAAAAAATATTCTTAATTATTGTGCAATTTCTCAAAACGATATTTATTAAAAATAGGAGGGAGTACAATATTAATATTTTTAGAACATGTTAAATTAAGATAATTAATTCTAGCATGTAACATAATAATTTGTAACTCATAACATGATATTATCTAACGTCCAATTTATAGCATAATGAAGTCTAACATAAATAATTTGTAACTTCTAACACGATCACGATAATATATAACGTCCAATTTATAATATAATCAACTATAACATGTAACATAATAATTTGTTACTCCTAACACGATACTATCTAACGTCAATTTATACCAAGACTTACATGTAATATAATAATTTCTAACTCGTAACACGATAATATCTAACGTCCAATTTATATTATAATCAACATGTAACATAATAATTTGTAACTTCTAACACGATAAACGTCCAATTTATAGCATAATCAAGTGTAAAATGTAACATAATAATTTATAACATAACTATTTCGAATATATAACATAATAATTTAAAAAAAAAAATAAAAAATTGTCAAAAAAAAAAAATTGTCCGGCCGGTCGAACCGGTCGTTTTCGGACGGCTATTAAGCCGTCCGGCCGGCCGGTTCGGACATAGCCCGTCCGACCGGCCGAACTTTCCGGACGACTTTTAACCCGTCCGGTTCCGTCGGCCGGACGGATTATAAAGCGTCCGGACACAAAAATTTTCGTACCTCCGAATTTGAAGACATTTCACCGTACACTTTCCTCTGAGATGTTTAGAAAAAATGAAAAAGGCAAAATCGTCCAAAGAGGCGGTGAATAGTAAAATGAGGGCGGTAAATAGTACCACCCATAGAAAATGATCCACCAACTACTTTGCGTGAGTAAAGTTTATAGCGGTATATGCAAACGAATATCATGCTAGGAAAAAAATGTTTTGCATTTTACATACTTATCAAGCTCTGTTCATAAATACACAAGTAAACCATCAAATCCACTATTGTGTTTCTACTGGGCAGTTAATCAAATCAATGTCAAGAGTCCCTGTTTTAAAAGTTTTATAAGATTTCGATATAGTGACAATGATAATCTTCCTCATCAGACAACGAATGGCTGTCAACAAATTTGGTTTTTTTTTTTTTTTTTTTTNGTTCTCAATAAATGATTTTACTGATAAAATTTTCTGCAAAAAAACATTACCAGAATCCTGGACTTGGAAAATCCAAACCATGAATCACCAGAATCAATAAGTCGTATCTCACACCACGTACATATAGAGAATAAAAATAAACCCCACACGGATCATCCAATAAAAATTAAGTCCATCAAAGTTTCATGTCATAAAGAAGATTCTCTAAGCAATCAAATGACCATAAAAAAAAAGTTCAGGTTTTTCCAAAAGCATTACAAGTTACAAATAAAATAGATGTAGTGACGTGTTCAACACCAAACTAACTTGTAAAAGGTGGAAGGACAAACCAATTGAGCCAACCATTATTACACAACAGCTTCTTCAGCATCAGGGTCAACTGGCACCGGAGGCCATTTATTGCCGCCTCTCAAACGGGATGCCACATTGTCAATAGCGGAGTTGAGTTGGCGGATTTTTTCATTCAGTGTATACCTGGTTGTCTGATTTCAGAATGACGAAAATAAGAATGTGATTAAATGAGTTCAATTAAAAAACTCAAGAATTAAAGCAGCCACAGTAATTTACCTCTAAACCTTCATCATCATAGTAAATAGGCTTTGTGGCCCTCTTGAAGCCGGCTTCATTTTCATTTAGCAGTGTTCTTCTAATCTAGTAGCATATCACATGAGGAGACTGAGTAAATAAATAAATAAATAAAAGCATACAATAAAACCCATGTTCGCAAGCAAGCAAGCGAATTGTTGACGCTTCTGCAATATCAAATATTATTAGTTTATGGGAAATTTTCACACTCATTTTTTCCAAAACTCAAACTTCCCCATCCTACTGTTTTTCCGGATAATCAGCCCATAAATTTGATGACTCGTAATTCTAGAGCAAAGGCAATCATTAGAAGTATACATTGGAAAAAAACAAGGTTGCAAAATAATGTATTATCACCTGTGGAGCAAATACAGTTGCAAGTGTTCCAAATACCGCACCTCCTAAAACGAAACCGGCTACAAAATGAGCACCACTTCCGCTGTTTTGGTCACTGCATTTAGGGAAAAGATTTAGAATGTATCACATTGCAACTGTCCAACTCATCGCTGTGACAAAAAACCAATTTAGAAGTTTTCAATAATCTACTGCAAATAATCCAAGTTTAAGATGACCGTTATTCATAAATTGTAGGTAGCCTTCCAACTTCATCGGTTCAGCTCATTTACCAAAAACATGTATAAAAAAAATGAAGTCAATTCAAGTAATAAGAATCACAAAGATAATAAGTCAGAGCTGTTTATGCCAGATTCACTAGTCTATGCAATGGGCACAAGCACAATGCCGGTGGGAAGAAGAAGATATAATTTGAAGTTCCACAATAATAAATTTAGTAAAACAAATGGTAACAATATTCATGTTAACAGAACTAGAAACATTTCTTTAGTTTTGAGAAGAAGCAGATAAAGATCCATACACCATGAGAGACTCCATCATTGATAACTCTAGTCCAAGATCACACCCCTTAAAATATGTGAACACATTGAAATTTTGAATCAGATATGACTTCAACTTTTTTCCCGGCAAAGTCATAAAAATTAGAATATTCTGTACTGAATATCTAGGTAAGGTAATGGTTATCTTTCTGACACAGCTATAATCATTGCATACAACACGCATTATGACTTTGCCGGCACTTTAGTACACAACATATGTTTCGAGACATCAATAGCGCAACGATTATCGTGTGTCAGAGAACACACATGACACATACCTGATTTGGAGAAACCAAAAAACTTATAAAACAACAAATATATAATCACAACTTTACAGAAACTTGTTTGAATCACAATTTTATCAATATTCATGAACTCCTATGGCTAAAGTCTTATAAGCCAAAATAACTTGTATTTATATTATTCCTCATTGACATGGAAACAATTTATAACATTTTAACTAAAAATTTCAATTTGGCAATACATATATATGATTATGAATCACAATTTTATCAATACTATTCTGTATGAATATCACACATATTTATATAATTTCCAATTTACTCGGACTGTTAACTTCGAAACTACAAGTCGTACTTCTGTTGAGCACGGACACACAATGGAGACCGAGTCTTGGATTGAAATGTTAATTGTCGAGACTTAACAAAGGCACCTGGGTTTACAGCTGAAATATTGATGTTCTTGGTATGATTCCCTCCTGCGATAGAACCAAAATAGTTACCAACTCAACCGTATAAAATGGGCCCATTTTTTTATTTTTCCAATAGAAACCAAAATCACATTTCATGAATATAAAAATCTTGACAGGATATAAATTACAAGATGCCAATGTAAATTCAGCTAACAATGGTGGCAGAAGTGTGTGGGATTGAGTGCGTGACCCAGACCCCAAACGCAGGAAAACTTAAATCAAAATCATGATTAATTTACAAATGAAAGGGAAAGGCTTAAGTAATAAAAGAACAGTGTACGTATTTACCTGCGAAGGAAACAGGAACTGTAGAGGCGGCCATCGACATGAGATGAGGAGCAGTGGGTAGAGGAAATGAAAATTCGAGAGAGGAAAATGAAAGGGGAGGAAAGAATTACCGAGTCTCGAACGCAGATCTACTACAACCTATATATGACTTACCTAAACAAACTATCTTTGTTCTCTCCGTCCATTTAGTTTGCTAATGTTGTTTTCTTTACTAATTATATCGTGGGATATACGGATAATAATAAAAAAATTAATTATTATGTTTATGACTAGTACCCGCGCAAGTAAGAAATATTTATTAATATTTAAATTATAAATTCTCATTAAATAATATTTATAAATTAAAAATAAAGAATTACTATAATATAATTTATCTATATTAATTTGTTAAAAATATTATATGAAATTTAAATTGTGCATAATTACATAAAAAATATGTCTATTTAAAATTAGTACACGACCCGTACGATGCAAGTAACTGATAATAAGTTATATTATATTCATTTCAAAAATAAATGCCATTTTAATTTTTTTATTTAGAAATTTAATTTGACTATAATGTGATTTAAGTAAAAACAAATTTGATTTCATACATTATCGATAAATATAATAGATGGTATTCTGTTTAACCACGAAATTAATTTCCCTGCATACAAAACAAAATCAAAACTTACATTTATTATAGATAAAAATAAAAAAGACCCAAAAATAGTTATTAAAAAATAAATAAATAGAAACTTCCATTAACACAATTATTTTAGAATAATTTTATAAGAAATTATAATTGAATAAATTACCCGAACTTACACGATCTGCGTAATTAGGGTATCTTAAAAATGTAATTTATTGTCTAATTATTTTCTTAATTATCCACGATTTGAGCAGTTAAATACACACAAAATGAATAATATTTGTTAAATAATATGTAAATAAAAATTGTCATTAACACAATTTTTTTAGAACAGGTTTTGCAAACTGCATAATTGATTATTGTTGTCGATATTTCCATAATTGTAGTAATTATTTACAGATTGAATATATCATTCGGATTTACATAATTTCTGTAATTAAAGTATATTAAAAATGTAGTTCACAAAAGAATTACACGAAAAATATAAAACACTTATTAAACAATAAATTATACAATTTAATTGAAATTTTTTTACCAAAACACATAATTGATATTGCAGCCGAAATTCCTATATTTGGGTAAATCAGCCAATTCACATGATTTGAGTAATTAATATATCTTAAAAATGACTTTACCATAAGTGATTATTTGAAATATACCATAAATTGTCAAATTAATTTGAGTAATTAAGGTATCTTAAAAATAAATATTTATATGACTTAATTATTTCTTTAAATAATGAGCCGCAATTTCCATAAGTGATTATTTTAAATATATATATATATATATATATATATATATATATATATATATATATTAAATTATTAAATTAATTTCTCAAAATAATAAATAGATTTTGTTTTGGAGGGAAATACTTACTATTTAAAAAATAATCAAACCTTTTTTTATATATGTAGATGTGGACAAGTTATATTAAAAATAACTTTATAAAGATTCATCAAGTTCATGTCGCATTTTATGATTAAAATAATTACTATAGATTGCAAAATTCAAAAGCACGTATAGTACATGCTGGAACCAAGATTTTACCCCGATACCGATCAAAAAAACTCATTCTAGTCTAATTTATTTTGTATGGTCTATTTTTTTAGAAATGACTATTAATATTTTTTAATTTTTAATTTGATTTTAAAAATTCATAAATTGAAAAAATCTATATATTTATAACATTTTCATAAAAAAAAATGTCAACTATAAGAAAAATAAAATAAAATTTGGTATTAAATTAAGTGAAAACAACATTTTCTTCTTACTTATTTATAGCCTATTAAATAGGGGTGAGCATGAGTCGGTACAGTTCGGAGATTGATAAATCTCCAAAATCGCACTGAAGTTCGGAGATAACTAAAATTCGATCTCCAGAACCGTACCAAAAAATCGGTTCGGTCCGGTTTGGAGATTTTTATTTTTTGGTTCGATTCGGTTCAGTTTTCGGGACTATCGGAACGGTTCGGATATTCGGAGATTTCTTATCATTTTTTTAAAAAATTGAATGACCACCTAGTTATATTTTATTTAAAAAAATCTAACATTCAACAATACTTCATCATACTAAAGATTTTATTTTTAAATCAACTTTAGAAGTAACCCTAAATTTTAGTTAAGACTAAATTCAACTAACATTGAAAATTTAAAATTCAAACAAAATATAATACAGTTTTACATTAAAGTAATATTTATTTAACCTTCCATACCATGTTAGTTATAAGATAAACAAATGCTAAGTATCGACAACTTTAAGTAAAACTTAAATATTTTTTTTTAAACCTTTAATATTTCATTCCATTTTACTTTTTTTAAACAGGAGAAATTCAATTGTAGATAAAATATTACTAAACATGAAATGTAAGTGAATCTTAATTGTTATTACTATATTTTTTTGCATTTAAAATTCTCAAATTATATAGGATCAAAGTTGACATAAAATATATTAATAACACGCATCTATTTTTATAATTCGGTTCTTAATTTCAGTGTTTCGGATCGGTACGGGACGGGACGGTTCGGTTCGGTTCTCGGTACGGATATTTATGAAATATCTAGAACCGTACCAATTATTTTTTCAGTTCGGTTTGGTTCGGTTCGGTTCGGTTCAGAGAAAGTCAAACGGTCAACGGATATTTTTCGGTTCGAAATATTTTCCGTTCGGTTTTCAGAACGGTTCGGAATTCTCTGAGTCTCATGCTCAGCCTTACTATTAAAGTTTTAAACTATATCGTACAATTTTTTTGCATCTCATTTATAATTAATTAATTTATTTATTTATTTTGTATATTTTTAGTTAGTTTACAGATTAGTCTCATGCTCAGCCTTACTATTAAAGTTTTAAACTATATCGTACAATTTTTTTGCATCTCATTTATAATTAATTAATTTATTTATTTATTTTGTATATTTTTAGTTAGTTTACAGATTATGTAATCATTATATGTAAAATAAACTAATTAAAAATGTAATTTGCAATAAAAAATTCAAAACTTGAGCTGTAATTTGCAACCAAAATTCAAAACTTGTGAAATAGTTGTATATTAGTTATATTTATATTTTATATTTATTAAAAAAACTAACATGTTATTAGAAAACAATGGTAATAGTTTTTAACATTTATTTATATGTATAGATTGTATAAAGTCAAATGAAATTTGTCTATAAAAACGTATTTAAATACAACTTAGTAAACACGTTTAAAAGTATCTAGAATATTGTTTGCTATTCTTGAATGATATGTATTAAACTTTGGCAAATGTTATATATTAATCTTAAGTAACATACATGCTAGAAATAAGCAAATATGTACCAATATATAAACAAAATAAGAAAACTACTTCAATATATAATAACTGTAATAAATATTTTTTATTATATCGCAAATTCTACAATAAGTGCATTAAGTATTTTTTAGTGGTGTATAGTTAAGTTAAACCGTTCTATATATTTTGTTCTACCGCTCTATGTGGTCATATATATATATATAGAGAGAGAGAGAAAGGATCATATGAGAAAGAAGGATAGTGAAAGAAATGAGAATAAGTCTGGACAATAGGATCAAGCATATCAATGATTATAATAGAGTCAAACTATTGTCAATCATAATGGCAATCTGGTAATTAATTGATCATATTGTGGTCAAACATGTGCATTTGACCAATAATTAAGGGTAAGTTGGTCAATACATATATTATGTGGGACCCACTCTCTTTCTTCATCACGCGATTTCAGATTTCTACATACACACACACACACACACACACACACAACACAACACACGGCGGCCGACCTTAGTAGATCCGCCGGAGCCAGAACTCGCAGCTTCCTTCACCAAGCCACAGCCGCCGGCGACATCTCCGCCTGCTGCCACCCGCCACAGCACCGGCAGCCGTCCGTTTCATCCACACTCGCCGCCGTCCTTTTCCTCCTCGCTCGTCGCCGCCCGTTTCCTCCAACACACTTCAATAGAAGCTGCTTTGCTACTCGTCGTTCAGACCCAAATCCGGCCCGTCGCCGCCACGATTCTTCCTCCTCCGCCGTGATTCTTCCTCCTCCGATGGGCGTGGGTTGTGGCGGCGTATTGGGCGATGAAGACGGCGGCGGTTGACGACATCGACGGTGACTGGAACTCCGGGGGTAAGCTCCGGTAGAGGTGGACGGGGGTGACCTGCTGATTGAGTTTTTTTATTTGTGGGGTTTTTTATTTGGAAATTTAATATTTTGTAGGGGCTCAATTGAAATTTTTTTAAGTTTCTTTTATTTCAATTTAACACTTGAGGCAAATGTGTAATAAAATAAAAGTCTAATTAATGCACAATAAAGTTACATATATTGCACATTATTATGCGAGAACATACACATTAAAAAAGAGCGTCATATTTTCATATTTTTGTCCCAAATCAAGTTATTTATATATTAATAATTTTACTTGTTATTTTTATATTATTTTCGGTTGAAAAAAGTTGAGTCCGGCTTAGATATATAATGTGTAATCCGGTAGTCGTGATAAAGTGCAACGTGTTGTGTTGTATAGTGCAACGTGGTATTTTAAAAAGTGCAACGCGTGGAAGTATAAAGTGAAATGATGTAATTTTTATATTTTTGTCCCCAAATCAAGTTATTTATATATTAATAATTTTATTTGTTATTTTTATATTATTTTTGGTTGAAAAAATTTGAGTCCGGATTCGAAATATAATGTGCAATCCGGTAGTCGTAATAAAGTGCAACGTGCTGTGTTGTAAAGTGCAACATGGTGTTTTATAAAGTGCAACGTGTGGACGTATAAATTGAAATTATGTAATTTTCATATTTTTGCCCCAAATCAAGTTATTTATATATTAATAATTTTATTTGTTATTTTTATATTATTTTTGGTTGAAAAAATTTGAGTCCGGCTTCGATATATAATGTACAATTCGGTAGACGTGATAAAGTGCAACGTGTTGTGTTGTAAAGTGCAACATGTGTTTTATGGAGTGCAACGTGTATACGTATAAATTGAAATTATGTAATTTATTTTTTTAATAAATTACTT